CCACATCTCTTAATGTTTGTGTCACATTTGAACCGCGTGTGATTTGTATTTGTCTGCACGTGTCTAAATGTCACTCTGCTGCTGATGTTTCTGCCAGCAGTTCCTCAAAATTTCACACCATTTTTTTCTTTTTTATTTGCTCAAATTGGATTCATCTCGGCTGTCACTGATGGAGAAATTAAAGGTTTGGACAACACATCTATTCACGTATCTGTTCCAGCCGGCAGCAATCATGTCAATTTATGTGTATTTCTGTTTGTGCGTGTGTGTTTTCACACCGCTTGTGTGTGGCTTCTCAGCTCAAGGCTAAACGCTGAATAGCACACATGAGGCTTCATCACCGCGTCGCGGAGCAGCCAATGAGAACACGAATCCCTCGACCTCGTCTGCGTCCGTCCCTGAAAACATTCCCCCTCAGCAGCAGGCGAACGCAAACATTTTGGGATTTAATTACGAGGGAGATTCGTTTCCATCATATCCTAGCAGTCCTGCAAAGCCAACAGTAAAGCTGTTAGAATCTGTAATAATAAGACATTTGTTGAACGATGAAAATGCAAGTCATTCTGCACAGACATACACAAACATTTCAGCTGTAAACTTGTCCATTTATTTAAATTTACAGTATTATTGATCACTATTCACATTTTGAAGGAAGTAGTGCAGTGGTCACCTAACAAGCTGCTTCACGTATGAGATTATTTTACTAAGCTAGTTTTAATAAAAGAGATTATCGGTGTCACGCTGCAGAAAGAAATCAAGATTATTGTAACTATTTAAAGTATTTACAATTAGGATAATAAAAATTTAATTATTTATAACTTGCAATGGCATGTAACAGGTATGTTGGACAGCAAGTGGTGACTTTTGTATCTGTGAAAAGCATTTTATAAATGAGCTTTACTTGCTAAGAACACAAGCCGTTTCTGTGCGTAATCTGCTGCACACCTTTTTATTTGGTGTTGTTTACCCACAATGCACTGTGTTGTACTGCACTTCCTGTATTTGGTTCTCTAGTTCTCTTGTAAGTGGATTTGAATGATTTTCTTTCATCCAGAGTTCGATTGTACATACAGGTTTCCCAACATCCAGTGGCGTCCACAAGAGGTGGGCAGGGGGGGCCATGGCCACCAGAAAAAAAAATAAAATAATGTGCCTAAGCGTAAATTTCTACAAAAAACTTCATATATTTACAAGAAAAATGTGGAGAAACGTTGAAAAATTGTAAGTTGTAACATTTTCCATAAAAACACATTTTTCCAAGATTAAACCTATAAATCTTTAATATTAAAATATTCAAGACTAAAAATACCACAAGTTCTCTGAGGTTTAAGTGATAAACTTAGGAGATGCACATCTGGATCTTTTTCAAAGTGCCGTTCCATGTCAGGTCTGGCCCAGGAGGTTCTGTTCTGATGCAGAAAGAGAGTCCAGATGTAACATCAAATTTATCACCTAAACCCTACAGGACTTCTGGCATTTTGGTCTCAAATGTCTGACTTTATAATCTCAGAAAACGTCTGAATTTTTTGACATCAGAGAATATCTTGAATTTTTTTTTTTTATTTTAAATTAATTTTTTGGCTGAAATGTACTTAACATTATTTTTTTTATTTTATCTGACTTCGCGATGCCAAACAAAACAAGCTAGAGTTTGTTTCAACAGTTATCTTAAGGTAGCTGTTCCTTTAAGAAGCTGAGCTCCAGACGAGGTAAAAGCTGTGATTTGAGCAGAACCTGTTGCCGCTCGTCATGCGCTGCTTGTCAACATCCAGCTGATCTGTGACATTCAGCAGCACAGAGAGGAGATTTCTGCATTAAAAACAAAATGGCGTCTTGTCAGGTTGGAACAGGAAACGGTCATGTTGCCATGGCGAACAGACGGCAGAAGAGGAAACGACTGACAGGGTTCCTGATGCTGGAGCTGACTTTGATTTGGTGAAAATGGTAAAAAGCAGCAGAAAATAATAAAGACAAAAGAATAAATAATGTTGATGCAGCTGCTGGCTGTTCACTCATAGGAGCTTTGGAAACAGATTCCTGCTTGTTCTGTTAATTATATGCAACATAAAACTAATTTTATATTATAAATTCATTGTTTTAGTCACTTTTCCTGCCTTGTTGCTTGTGATTTTATGTTTTTCTACTGTTTGAGGTCCAGGAGCTGATTTAGACGACAGCCTGAATCGTTTTCAGGTTTGTGCAGAACATGGTGACTTTCTGAGATCTGAACCAGGAAACCGTTAAAAACATGCAGAACAGCGAGAACATGGAGGTCCAGCAGGTCTTATGCTAATTTACCTGATGCAGCGTTTTCTCTCAGGAATCTAATACCTGTACAGTATCTCTATGTTATAACCTTCTATAGTATTTTGTTATTTCTATTATTGTTATTCTTGAATTTGATATATTTTTTACCATTTTGGGTCTTTGTGTGTGAACAGATAAATCTGATGTTCATCCTGACTTTCCTCTCTGTGGACAATAAAGGATATTTCCATTCTGTAATCATTTTAAAATGATTAAAGTATTGTGACGCTTTGCTTTGTTTCTCTTAGCTGCTTATTAAAATGGAAAAAGACAAAAAAAGTACAAAGTAAAGTCGACTGAGGTTAAACTTCTCCAATGAGAGAGAAACTTTCACAGAGGTTCCAGCCAGATTTGGAAAGTAAATAATTACATTTACTTTAGTAACTTTTCTGAAAACTTGTACTTTTAGGAGTATTTTTACTACGCTGTACTTTTTACTTTTACTTGAGTAATTTTATTATGAAGTATTTCTGCTCTTATTTGAGTAAAATTTCTGGATTTTCTTCCCACTGAATGAAAAACAAACATGTTTTAACCAAAAATTCACCAGATTCAGACACACACTGCCTGATTTTCTATTCTTTGCTATACATGAATTATTGTCATTTTGTCCTTTAAAATACCAAAATTTCCACTTAGCTTTATATTTTGGTCCGTCTGATGATGTAATTTTTAAATATTAATGATTGATGTTTTGATCAGTTACTCAGTATTCGTGTTGCCTTTTTTTACCAAATATTTTTTTACTCTTATTTGAGTAATTTCTACTTTTCACTGGCAGAGTAAATATACATTGATGTAGTGATACTGTTACCAGGGTAAAATCAACAAATGCTGAGGCCACAAAGAAACTACATTGATGTTAGCTGTCCTGGGAAAGACACTGGAAGCTCATTTATCTCCAGTTTTCCAGTTTTCCGCTGCTGATCCGCAGCCCGACTGCAGCAGCTGTTGGACTGCAGGGCCACCAGGTCCATCTGATAATTGAGAGTCAAATAAACGGCTGTTCCTCTCCGACTCCGCAGCAATCTGTCTTCACTTAGAGAGGCTCCCTCCGTCCTCTACACCCTATTATCTATCCATCTATCCGTTTATTGGCCCCGACCGTTTATCCCTCCATCAGCAGCTCCTCCTGACACACTAACAGCTGTTTGACAGTAATGGCTCTGAAAGCAGGACAGGACGCCAGACTCTGCATGTTGGAGGGCAACATGGCTGCAGGACCGGGGAGCATCAGGAGGGGCGCACGCACGCACGCACACGCACACACACGCACACACACGTCACTTTAAGCGTCATACACACACACACACCTTCCAATCAATAGCAGGTTTGGGTCTTTTCAGTCACACAATGGTGGGTCATTTATGACCGAGTCTTAGAGCCACACTGAGAAAAAAATAAATAAAATTACGAGAAAAAGTTGAAATATTATGATTATGACCTAAAAATTATGCTGAAGTAAGAGCAGAACTACTGCAACATATTTTTACTGAAGTAAAAGTGAAAAGTAGCAGGAAATTACCTTAAAGTAAAAAAGTATTTGTTAAAAAGTCGACTCAAGTACTAACTGATGAAATTATCAATCATTTAATATTTACAAGTTACATTTTGTCAGATGGACCAAAATATAAAGTTAAGTGGAAATTTTGGTATTTTGGAACCAAAGTGCCAATAATTCTTATAAATAACAAAAAAAATAACAAAATCAAGCAAAAGAAAATGTTTCCAAATCAGTTTTTAATTGAAAGAAACTTTAACAGAAACTGCAGGTGTGTCTCTGTTTCTAGTGAATTTTTGGTTAAAACATGTTTGTTTTTCATTCAGTGGGAAGAAAATCCAGAAATTTTACTCAAGAGCAGAAAATACAAGCGCAGTAAAATATTCAAAAGTAAAGTTTTTCTAAAAAGTTACTGAAGAAAATGTAACTGGTTGCTGCCAAACTCTACTTATGACTTAATGTGGAAATCCGACTTTTTTACAGCATAGAGACCATTTTTGTACAATTTTATTTACGTAATACTATGAATTTAGTCGAGAATAAAGTGAAAATAAGTCATAATATAATAACTGTATACCTAAAATATGATTTTTTAAAATAATATTTCAACTTTATTCTCCGTCGACTATTCTTGTAATATTAAGACTTTATTCTGATATTATGACTTTATGATTTTATTCACTCAATATCGTGGCCATCCCAATATTTAAACATTATTCTCATGCAACTTTATTTTAATAATACTGATTTTATTACCAAATATTATCACTGTTTTGTAATATTATACAGAAAACTCCTACAAAATGCCAAGTATTTGTCTAAATGATCTTCCTGTGACTTCTGACTCTACAATCTGTGGAAATCGGCACCAACAACAACTACACTGCAAAACCCAAAATCTTACCAAGTGTTTTTGGTAGTTTCTAGTACAAATAAGACAAAACTAACTGAAAAGTAACTTTTTAGCAAGACAGAGGTTTGTTTTAGTAAATAATGGTGTAATTGGTCTGAAATAGTATGTGTGTAAAAAATAAAGGTATTAACTTGTGAACCGAGTTCAGAGAGTTGAAACGATGATCAGTGTGTTTCTGTTTCCTGGCTGTAAAAACCTGCAGGATTTGCTTTGGATCATAATGAATTTTCCGGTCTAACAAAGACCTGTGGGTGGAGACGTTTCTCTCCAAGTGCTCTGATTTTAACCTCTCCTCTTATCGCCATGAAACAACCGCTGGTTTCAACACCTGGAGCTAAAGCTGCCCTGCAGAAGCTAACCAGCAGATTTAACAGTTTGTCCACTAATGCAGCTCTTAAACTCCCATCACCCTTTGCTGTAACACTCATTAGCTTATCAGGACAAGACAAAAGGGAATATTAGCTCTGCCTGCTGCGCTCAAGGGCCAAGCTGACGTGTCACATCAAGATAGCAGGTATTAGCATGCGGCACATCCATCTTTGTCCACTGATACAACTCTGTAAGCCTCTCATTACTTCATCCTCTTAAGACAATACGCTCTGATTCCTCCTCCTTTACCCGACCGCTCAGGTTTTCATTGGTCACCCGTTCGACGCGCCTTCCTGAGGCTCAAATCCCCGACCTCAAACTTCCTCCGGATCCCCATTACCTTATCAGGAGAAGACAAAAGGAAAGCAGAGGTGTGACTGTCTGACTCTGCTGGCTTTTGGATTAGCTGCTAACGCTAACGCGGCTCCTGCAGGCCAAGGTGAGGGCTGCCTTAATGTTCCAGCTTTGGGGCAGAAAGCCGCCTAATTTCTGCTTCTATCGCTGCTAGCAAGGCTTCGTGCGGCTTCAGGGGCGCCGCAGGGAGCTGCAGCTAAGACAAAGTACTGCAAGGTTAATCCCAGCACTGCAGGAGTCAGAAGGTATTTAAATAAAAAGGAGCGGCGCACACCTGTTTAAATTTCAAGGAGTAGCAGGTTTTAAAAGCATAAAATCAGAAGTAAAACTGTTTTTTCTGCATTGGTAAAGTAATGAAAAAGGTTTCTTCTTGTGGGTTTTTCTGATGTTTGGAATCTTTTACACAGTTTTAGTTACAGTTTATATAAAAATCATTTTTAGTTTTCTAGTAAATGCATTAATGCTTTTTCCACAGTAAAATTCAAACATTTTCTATGTAAGTTTTCAAACTTTTCCAGCAAAAACTTTGGAGAAACAACACAAACCATCAAAAAAGAAAAAAAAAAACAGCTTCAACTCACGATTATATGATATTTATTACTATAAATAATATATTGTGATTGTGTTCAACATTCTGCAGCATGGACAATGAAAATATAAATATAAATATATATTTAAAATGTCTCACACACCTTACACACCTGACTGGTCTGAAAACAAAACACTAACTTAACAACAGAAATCAATTTGAATAACTTTATATGTACTATAAGAAACCCTGATTTAAATTACACAGATCAATAAATCATTGAGACGTCAGGAATAATAAATATTCATTATACTGAAACAAAAACAAGGTTGTTAAAGTAAACAACCTTCCTGCTCAAATTAAATGTTTAAACATATTTATATAAGAAGAAAGTTTTAAAATAAATATGTAAAAAAAATTCTCCCAAACTTTTTCTGGCATTTAGTAAATATAATTAATTTTGGTCATTTTAACTTAAACCAGAAAAGTTTAGTCTGATTTAACTGTATTTTTATTTTCCTGTTAGGTGTAAATGTTAATAATATTTCCCAAATTTAGGTTCTTAATTAGATGTTTGTTTGCATTTTATTACAAACCTGTGCAATTTGAATATCAAACAATTTCAAGGACTTTATACAGAAATTAAAAACTTTCCAAACCTTGGAAACTCCTCACTGAAAATCAGGCACCTGAACAAACCGGTTTAATTTTCTATATTTTTGTCTCTTGTAATCTCACATATTCCAGTTTATCAGCACAGAAACAACCTGAAGGAAGCAGCTGCTCAGCCTTTCCACAAACACGCCCTCCTGATGAGGAGCCAGGCAGAGAACCCACAGGTCAAAGGTTAAGTACAGACACTGTCCAAATCAGAGGGGTCAACTGACAGGCAGGGAAAATGACGGGCTTAATGACTATCTGCTGCGGCTAATGACCACCAACACACACACACACACACACAGGTGCAGCCACACTTCAGCTCACAGATTACAGATGAAATCAAGCCGCAGCCACTCCTGCTCAATGAGCTCTAATTGGTTGCTGAGCAGCTCAAGTCCCGCCCACTACTTTACCAGCCCATTAGAAGTTATTAAAGGGGATCCTCAGGGAGCGGTTCGGGTCACAACACATGGCTAAGCTAGCTGGGAATAATAACCCAGCAGCTTTAATAGAGAGCCGTCATCATCACAGCGGCAGGGAGGAACTTAAGACGAAGCAGCTGGACAGAAGAATGATTTATGACGCGTTAAGATCGGCTTAATGTAGGATTATTACAGAGCTGCAGCCGCGTTCGGCTCTCAGCTAAAATTAAAAAATATAGACATAACAAATGCATTTTTTAGTGTCCTTTGTTTCTTTCATGGAATAATTGTATTGAAGTTCCACAGCAGAATGTGACTAAAATTACCAGCAAAATGTTTTTAAATCTATTTTTCCTGTAGCTGCGTTTTCATTTATTATATAATTGAGTAAATTAACATTTCAAAAATTAATTTGCTTAATGGAAAGAAGCCAGTTTCGGAAATGTTCATGTTTTGATAAAAGGTTTTGCTGTGGGGTGAAGTGGGTTTTTGGCCGGTTTATTTCACAAAACTGCGATGGAAATGCCTATTTTGCATAACATGGTTAACAACAGGATGTCACTACTGGCAGAAACCAAGAAGAAGAAGACAGGAAGTACTTGGAGGCTCATGGTGGGGATTTCTTTTTAATGACTTATCACATGAACAAACTTATGTGATTTTATTTACACTTATTTAAAGGAAACATTGCAATTATGAAAATATGTTTTGCGACATTCGTGGAAAACTGACAAAGTTCTGTGGAGATTTGTAAAAGATACGCAGGTTTACAGATGGACTGTTGTGCTTCCTGGAACAGGTTAGGGTCTGTCTTTGTGCCACGCAAAACACGTTCATTACATTAAAGAAAAAAGAACAACTCATAAAATCTTACATAAAATTAGATTTTAGTCTGTTTGGGGCGTCCAAAGAAAAGCTGCTGTAGGCCACGCCCCCGCAACTCAGTGTTTACATCCACATGTGAAAATGGCGGCAAACAGATGCTCCATTATGCATACAACCATACATCTTTGAAAAGCAGTGGCGCCTCCTGTGCAACCAACAATACAGCAAGTGGTTTCTGGATGGCAAGTCAACAAAAAAACTTTTGTGTTTTCCAGCAGCCATTGTACAGCGCACACAGCGGTAAAACCAGCTGACCAAACATGCTGGAGCTCAGCTTGTTTGAGCTCCAGCCCAGGTAAAGGGCTGGGCTTCTCTGGAGTTGCTAGGTAACGGAGCAGTGTATGCCGATTTGTGATGTTACATTTTAAAACGGCTCATTTTCCAAAGACCAAAAAAAAAATTAAGTTATTGTCATAAAACGACTGTTTCTTTTAAAACACTCGGGCGCAAATGGAAGAACAAAAACATGCAAATGTTTGCAAAACACGTCTCCTAAATTGGTAAAAAAGTAAATAAATGAACCAGCAAAAATTTTCAAACAAATGCAGGTTTTAAAAATTGCATTGAATTTCCACAACAAAATGTCACAAAAAGTCACTTCAACAAGTTTTTAAATTGATTTTTCTTAATATTTCCCATAAAAACCAACACCTCACTGAAGAGAATATAATCATCCTGTTGCACTGCAAAAAAACAAAATCTTACAAAGGTCTAGAAGACAAAACTAACTTTTCAGGAAGATATAACAGCTTGTTGTAAGTCAATAAATCCTTAATACTGATGAAAAAGTTCCAGTTGAAGATTGTTTCAAGACTTGAGATTTATCATTTGATGTTTGAATGTGTGAGAAACGGGTAGAAAAAAAGAGGAGATATCTATTAACTGAGTCAGTTTGCAGCATGAAGTAAGTTAATGTGTTTAAATCTTGTTTTCTACGTTAGAAGCTGACGGCACACAGACACGCCTGTGATTGGCTTGTTGGGAACAGTCAAAGCATCGGTGCATGCCATGTGACTGAGTGAGTGTGACGGTTTGGCTGCGAGAGCCGACGTGTTGCGGTACGGAGATAGTTCGTTACTCATTCTGCTCCACATGACTTTGTTCTGGTGCAAATTCTGACATTTTGATGTGCCAACTGAGAATCCAGCTCACCGGGATGCTGCGTGTTTGTTTGTTTACTTAGTTCAAAAAGTGAGGAGAGATGAAAACATTTCAACCTCAGGTAAATGAAGACCCAGGTGGAAAATAAGTTTAATTTAATTGTTGTTTGAGGATTTAATGCAGATTTTTGCTTCCAGTTACTTCACTTCTTTACATTTACAGCCAAAACTGCAAAAACAGAATCTAACCAAATATGTTTGGTCTGGTTTCCACTCAAATATCTTAATACATTTGAAATAAAACTAACTTACAAGTAACTTTTCAATAAGATGTAGGAGTTGTTTTTAAGTCAAAAATTGCTTAATATTGATTAACAACAAAATCTTATTGGTCTAGTTTCTACTCAAATATCTTAATGCACTTGAAATAAGAGAAACAAGTAACTTTTCAACAAAATACTGGAGTTTGTTTTAGGTCAGTAAATCCTTAATATTCATAACTGGCAGATTATTTAACTCAAGACACATTTTTCCTTTTAGTCAAATAATCTGCTAATTAACTTTTCATCAATATTAAGCATTATTGACTAAACAAGCTACTATGTCTTGCTGAAAAGTTACATATAAGTTAGTTTTGTCTCATTTCAAGTGTCAAGATATTTGCAGGAGAAACCAGACTAAAAATACTTGGTTAGATTTAATGTTTTTGCAGTGTAGAGACTGGAGCTTCACTTCCTCTGTCAGCTGATTGTGTTGCTAACTGGCTGACTGCAGCGAACTGATTAAAATATAATGATGTATTGATTAATCTGTGATCTCAGGCTTCCATTTTTCCCAGTAAAACATCGTACTATCAGACATTCGGCTTCTTTGGGTCAGAAAATCCAAAAAGCTTTTTTGTTTTTGGCATCTTTTAAGGTGATTGTCGTTGGATGAATGAAAATGATGGAAAAGCTCACATGACAAAAAGTTACATTCGTCTTCCGAGCAGAAATGCTGACATGTTTCTATTCCAGCACTCAAAATACACGACATTTACACAGAAACCTACAGACATAATGATGCACATCAGAATAATAACGTCCGTTCGAGCCTGGACGCCCCAGAATTATTAAACAGCGTTGAAAACTATTTCAACAGCCAGCAGCAGGAGAAGTGAGACAGTTTGGATCAGAGAAGTGAAACACAATATTAAAGTCTATAAAATGAGATGTAGTGATAAAATGTCATAATTTTGGGATTTGACTTTGCCAGTTTTCTGCTTACCTTTAAACAGAAAGGTAAACAGGGTTTGTTGCACATTTTTGCAGCAAACCTGGAAAATGTACCCATCTGAATTCAGACTTTTAAAAGTTACTTCCTTTTCCTCTTGGTTTTACAACATTCAGGTAAACGGAGAGGCACGACTCCCTGGTTATGTCACAATATCATCTTCTCAGTAAAATAACACAAAACTTCAGTCTGAACCGAATCTGGAAAGAAAATGTTTCAGTTTTCTGCTCCATCCTCTTCAGACCTAAAGGAGCTGCTCACACTAAATGTTTTAATTAAGGAATATTAATTTATTTATGACCGTATTAACTTTTTCTGTTTTGCTGTGAAAGCTTTGTAAACAAGACATTTTTAATCTCGAAGGGATTTTCCTGCTGAAACAGATTAATTTGAGTGTCTGAAAAACGAAAACGCTCTTCTATGGTCTGAAAGGAAGTTGAACTGCCGTCATTCTGGCAGAACAAACTGCAGCAGGATGAAGCAGCTGATCTGCTGCAGAGCAGAGAAATCAACCAGGACTCACCGACTGCAGCACACTTCAGGTTTCACTCCAACCGCTGGAAATCAGGATCTGATCTGCAGGCCACACAAAGACTTCACATTCACTCCACCTGCTTAGGACCCGGCAGGTTTCACTGATAGACGACGGGCATCGTTACGTCTGATGTGCTTTGAAGATGAAGGTTACTGACCTTTAACCAGTCGTCTCTCCCGCTGTGAGCAAATCCACGTCCGTCGCCCTGCAGCCGGTCCGATCCAATCCTCCGTAGTTTGTAATCCTGCAGCACAATGAATCCGTGTGAACGCTGCCTCTTCCTCCTCCTCTTCCTCCTCAGCCTCATGCTCCAGAGCCGAGGGGTTTCCGTCTGCAGCGGGACAACAGGTGAGAGGGAATCAGGAGATGTTTTGCTCCTCTCCTCTCCTCAGCTTGTCTGCTAAGACTACGCTTGTTTTGCTGCTCTTTACAAAAACACACAAACTCACACACATACTGAGGAACACTTTTTTTCTTCCTTTTGGTTTTGTTTTGTGTTTTTTTTCTTTTATCTAGCGGTGGAGCTAACCCTGAGCCGGGCCCGGTCTGCCTTTGAGATGCTCTCTAGCCCACAAACACAAGGCGGCTTTCATTATCTTGCCCGTCGCAGCGCAAGGCCTAGCTTCTAAAAGCTACTGATTTCTTTCTTCCTTTAGCCCCCTGCACAAAGGGAGGGCATTTTGTAAATTACTTGCTCGTTTCAGACCAACAAAAGGTACTTTCATTGAACCCTCCTCCCCCCCACTGCTCTCCTTCTTTCCTCCCGCCATTTGATTTTGCTCAAATTTGATTACAAGGCTTGAAAAAGGAGGAGAAGAAAAGAGAAGAGGAAATAAGAAAGCTCCACAGATGGCGTGCTCATTCACTGCTGTGAATGGCTTTATATGGGCTGCCTTTATACGTGTGGCAATCCAAAGACGCTTCAGCCGCTCGGCTAAAAAAAGAACTTGACAAAATTATTGGTTTGGCGGCTTTCTTACACGGCTGACATGGAGAACTCTGAAAGAAGCGCCCGCTTCCTTTCTCTCCTCCGTTCTTGTCTCGATGCCTCACAGCGCTGATCACCTTGATTGAGACAAACCGCAAAATGTTCCTGATTCTAAGAGAAACCGTGTTAATGTTCACCTGATCCGCTCCTACTGGGGTCAAATATGTAGCAGCAATAAACACACACACACACACACACACACACACACACACGTCTGCGTGGCTATCTTGTGGGGACTTTCCATTGACTGGTCCCCTTGTGGGGACCAGACTTCGGGCCCCACAAAGAGCAAATGGTCCCCACAACGTAGTATATGTCAGGAAAATCGTCCCCACAAGGTATTACAAACAAACGCACACACACACACACACACACACTCCTCAAATCAGACTGACTGCTGCAAGACAGAGTTTACAGGCCGGTACTCTCCATGCAGCACTTATTTTCCTCTGGAGGATTACAGGCTGCTAGAGGAAAATGTACCCACACACACACCCACTCATACACACACCCACTCATACACACACACACACACACACACACACACACACACGTGAGCACCCAGAGCAAAGCGAACTATGACTTGTTATCCCATTATCACATCATCCCACCTGACAGAGCGCAGAATTGGAGAAATAGTCTGGGTCCCTGCATGGTCACAGCGGCTAAAAGTCTAATGGGAAAGGGTCAGTTAAATTCTGCTGCTACATCATGTTGAGGTCAGAGGTCGGGCCGATGCATCAGTGAGGTAAAAAGGCCAGCCATAACTCAGGCTGGGCGGAAAGAAAACTATTTTCTTCTTTAAGTGTCACTAAAAAACTGCAGTATGAATTTTCTTTTTAAATGTGTTTTTTACATATTTGTTGAAATTGTCACCATGTGTGACAGTTTGTTATGAAACAGATAATCTGTGAATAGATTGACCTCCTCCACTTCTTCTCTGAAGAAATGCATCAAAAACAACCAATCAGAGCCAGGAGGTGGGGCTTAGCGCTGCCAATCATTCACATGTATGTTGCCAACTGTGCTAATGGAGAAGAAATAACATGTAGGAAACAGGATTATATATAAGAATTTAGATTAAAGGGAGGTACTCTGGTCCACACTCCAGCACAGTAGATGGCGATAATACATCTTACATGTCACCCGCCAGTAAAAATCAGAAAGAAGAAGAAGAAATAACACACAGTTACAGGAAAGCCATTTATCAGCTGTCATTGGAGGCTATGCTAATTAGCTTAGCAATCACAACACATCTGCTGCTGACAGGGAGATGCTTGTGACTGAAGACCCGACTTCTGGCTCCTATTGGTTGTGTCTAGTTAGTACTGGGAGAAAACATGGAAACTCTTTTCTTCAGTCAACACC